CCCTTGCTCCGTACCCCACCCAACCTCTGCCCTCCCTCCTCCTTCCATCTGCCCTCCCTCCGCCCCCTTCCTCCCGGCCTCCTTCCACCTCCTCCTCTTCCTCTTCACGCTTTTTCCCACACTCGTCTCCACCTTACCTCTTCCCTTCCTCCACTCGTCACTCAATCTCTAATCTACCTTCTGCTTTCTCTCCTCCCTCCGCCCTACTGCTCCCTGCCCCCTCCCTTTTCTCCCGGCCTCCTCTGGACCTTCTCTTAAACCCTCCCTCTGCCCTCCCTTCGCCTGGCCACCTCACTCCCCTTCCCTCCCTTCGCCCAATCTCCGCCTGACCTCCATCCCTCCATCTCCTTCGTCGTCCTCCTTCCTCCGCCCGATTTGCACTGACCTCCTCCTCCTCCTTCTCCCAATCTCCTTCCTCCCCTTCCTTCCTTGGCCCGATCTCCCCCTGACCTCCTGCTTCCGCCCTACTCTCCGCCGGCTTTCCCCTTCTTCCTACAGGCCTCCTCCGCAACTTCTGTTCAACCTCCCTCTGGCCTTCGTCCGCTTGGCCGCCTCTTTCCCCGTTCGTTCGCCCGATCTCTGCCTGACCTCCTCCTTCCCCCCATATCTCCTTCCTCCACTTCCTCCCTCAGCGCGATCACCACATGACCTCCTCCTCCCATTCCCTCCCTCCGTCCTACTCCCTACCTCCCCCTTCCTCCATCGACCCGCCGCCCTTTCATCGTAACGCCCGACCTAAGACGTGCTTCTTGTTCTTTATCTGGTGGACGTCAACGCTCCATTTGTTATCAAACTCGCTCCAGTTCTTTTAAGATCTCAACACGGTTGCACACGCGCAAGACGGAGAGAGAGAGAGAGACAGAGAGAGAGAGAGAGAAAGCAGGAGAGAGAGAGAAAACGCATTTCACCCAACACACACACACTTCCTCCTCTCGCTCTTCCTTCCCCCCTCGCACCTTCTTCTTTGTCCTTGTCGTCTGTCTCCTCCACCACCAAACGTACGTCTTCTGCCTCCTCAAGATCTTCCTCCTCAACATTCTCCCCCCGTCTTTTCTCTTTGGAGCGGCCTTATGATTAACTGCCCTGCGCCAGGTATTTCAGGCTATGGATATTTCTTCTCCATATTTCACTCTCTTCCTCCCCAATCCCTACACACACCACACTGAGTCAGCTCTCTCTCTCTCTCTCTCTCTCTCTCTCTCTCTCTCTCTCTCTCTCTCTCTCTCT